TGTAAAAGCCAAGATACTTTAAAAGAAACACTCATCCCCACTCAGGTGTTTCCAGAAAGCTCAGGGAGGTAGAAGAAAGACCCCGCACAACTTACAAAGGGAGCTAGATCCGTCTTTGGAAACACAGAACATGATCCAAGAACCCAAATCCCATCCCCAGGGCTGGACCACGCAGACTGGCCACAGTCATTGATTAAACAGGATAATGGGGCAGTCTAAACAGTGGGGGACAGGGTATGTAGAACAGAGATGGTGTCATCTCACTCGGGCCCAGACGTATGTTCTGACTTGAGTATCCAGTGTGGATGCGTCCCTTCAATTCCTTGGCCAATGGTAACAACCCTCTTTCCTGTATGATGACACCCTAGCCTGACGATATAGCCTTGTCCCTTGTCACCGGTCATGTCTACACCCACCAGCACTGGTTTCCAACGCCATGATCTTCAGCCTCATTGGCTGCACGGGTCACTAGACTCCCATCCTGACAGGGCCCCGGCCTGTGCTGGCTTGTCCATTCCCCTTCTCTCTCATGCGCTAGGTCACTTTAAGCCATGTTCTCCTCTTGTCCTGAGGGGAAAGAGTAATGTGGAAATAGCCACTCAACCTGCATCCGTTTCCCTACATTTTCTTCCTTTTATTGACTGTATCTTGACGTCAAAGCTAAAACATGACCCAAAAAGAAAAAGAAAGAAGGAGAGACAGAGGAAGAGGGACAGCCCACCTCTCTCCCCCTAAACTGTGAGCACAGAGGGGTTACCTGCCAAGACCCACTTCCCCAGGAACTGCCAGGCCCATGCCCTCGGGCTTCTTCTAAAACTACCGGTCCTGCAAAGTCAGAGGTCAAAACTCCTCTTCTCCAGGTGAAAATGAGAAATGAAGACCTCCTTGGCTCAGTCCCTATGGCAATGTACTTTCTCATTGTCAATATCATCAGTTGGACTGAAACATTTTAAGAAAGGCTTCTGCCCCTAGATGAATTTTAAACGTGCTGACTGGCCTGCTAGAAATTGCTGGTATCCTTGATCCTTCTGAATATATTCTCTCTCTCTCTCTCTCTCTCTCTCTCTCCACACACACACACACACACATACAAACACACAGACACCTCACTCAGATGAGCAATGTCTTCAGAAGCTCAGATGAGCAATGTCTTCAGAAGCTGAATGCCAAGTGTACCTCAACAGAAGCATCTCGGTCCCTGGAGTAACTGCATCTTCAATTCGGAGCACGTCCTGGCAAGGTGAGGAACGCCACTAGGGTCTTTCCTTCTTCACAAGACAACCCCTCTCCGTGGGTGACCTACCTTCGCTCTCCTGCCAGGGTCCCCACCTTTTCCCTAGGTACGTTTTCCTGGGGTCCTCCCTCTCACACACTGGCAGCATCCCTCCAGGCTCAGCCATCACAGAACCAGCTCCTGCTTACCTGCGGGAAAGTCCCGGCTCACTGTGGTTGACTCGCTGAGTTCAAAACAGGAAGGGGGACAGGAGCACTGTTCTCCCTGTCCCTGCAGAAGCAGTGCCCTCCCTGAACCAGGAAGGACCGAAACTCAGCTGCCTGAAACCCAGCACAGGTGGTTCTGACACAGGTGGCTCTTGGGTTTCCCTCAAAGACAGAGCTTTGTCAACCTTACTGTGCTAAGACATCACAGAGCAGCAAAAAGATCTGGTTAAAGTGTGGGTTCTGACACAGTGGGTCTGGATGAGTCTAACTCACTGCCCCTCCCCCTTCCCCCCACCATGAGGTGGATACCACTGGTCCATAGCCATGCTTTGAGTGACAGGCTTTAGGAAACTGTGATGGAAGGTCTCACTCTCCTATGTGTGGTCCCCAGGCCAGCACCACCGGCATCCTCTGGGGCTACTTAGAAATGTAGCTCTAGGGCCCCACCCCAGACCTGAGACATCAGAATCTGCCTTTCATCAAGTTTCCAGACAATTCTATGCCCATTAGTTTGGGAAGATGACAAAGGAGAACTTCAGGACCGGCTTCTCAAAGTAGTTTTCCACAGAATGGTCAGAGGGGGCCAAAGAAAAGCAACTTTTTTATTCTAAGAGATTTGACACCCACATTAAAGGTCTGCCTGGGTTGGAGGGAACAGAGTGAACTATTTGGAAACGAGCCTCTTCAATCCCAGCTCCCACCCTGCAAGACCACATAGGACAAGAATTCAGCTGCAGCTCCACAGCTCTGAGTGTGAACCGCTTACATTGCAGCCAACTTTCTTGGTTTTCATTACTTCTCTATCATCATTAGATCAACCAATTTGGGGACCCTGCTGTAACCAATAGACTGCCACAGTTCTGGGGCAGGTAGTTACATGGTGGAGGAGGACTGATAAACCCGAGTACCCTCAGTCAGAAGGAGAGACGGAGCCAGGCGCTCAGACCACTGGGCTCTTGAGAAGACTGTAGCTGTTTGACCTTCAGGGAGACCTGAAAAGGGCGGATGTCCCCACTTCTATAAACTCAGCACCTAGCAAAGCACAGGACGTATTATAAGGAAAATTTAATCAATAGCAGTTAAAGATGTTTACTTGGAGATTTAAAGCACTAACTTGCTAAAACTAGAGGCCACAAGAAGACCAAGAACCAAGAAGAAATGAGAACACAACCTACATTTAAAAAGAAAAAATTGAAATTAAATTTTAATGAGAGAATCAGGCTCTAGCAGAATCTGGGATCATGAGGAACCCCCCCCAAAAAAAAACAGTTGGCTCAGTGAAATCTGAGGTACAGGCTCTGTGTTTCCCTCAGTGTTGTTTTCCCAGGATTCTGTTGGAGAAAGTGCTTGCTACAGACCACGCTCGCCTTTGTTGATCAATAGATCAAGGAGCAGTCAAAGGAGATGGGAGCATCCAGGAAGGGATGGTGCTGGCATTGATGAATGTGGACAGGGCCAATGCAAATACTGCGTTCAATTAGCATTTTTGTGGACCGAGCAGTTTCTGAAAACTATTTTTCAAGCCATGGAATACGCGGAGCATCTGGCTCCATTTCTGGAAATACTTCTGACAGCTCTGCCTCCCACCTCTAACCAGTCCCACCCCAACTCACTTTCCATGCCTTCCTTGGGCCAACTTTATATCCTCCCTCTGCCTTACTTGCCTGTGTGAAGGCTTTAAAGTCTAGTAATAACCACAGGCCCTTAGTTGAGTCCCTACTATGTGCCAGGCACTGCACATGTCTTCTTTAATCCTCACAACCATTTCTGTTTACATATGAAACAACTCACTGATGCTCTGAGAGGTGGAGAAACCTGTCCAAGGTCACAGCGCTTGTAAATGAAGGTTGTGGCATTCCATCCTCTCCTCTCCAAAATCCACGCTCCCCTGGCTGTCATTCTGTCCCTGTAGCCATGTTCCTCACTTCGGTCTTGTCTGTCTAGCCACTATGTTCTGGGTAGCTCTTACTTCTTACACCTACTTCGGCGTAGGCACGTATGGCTTTCATTCCAGCTTTGTTCATCAGCGATCTCATCCCTCCACTGGGGTCCCCTGTTGCAGACACCCCTACATTTGATAACCACCGCTTCAGTGCCTTTTCATATAGGTTTTGTCTTGAGGGTTTTGAAGGTTTTCTGCAACAAAATATATACAGTGGGGCTTAGGAATTAAAGGCAAGCCTTCTGCCAGTGTTCTTTTATGTTCAGGAAAAATCAGGAAGGTTAAGGGCAAGCCCCAAAGGATGGCCACAGGCATGTTTATAACAGCCGTTTCCACATTGGTCTGTTTTGTTACACACCAAACACCCCATCCCATTGCAGGTATCTATTGGTAACTCCAATACTCAAGCCATTCTGCTAAAATGATGACGAATGGCACACTCATTCCAGCACGAGCCGCTCAGCTGCCACGTACAGACAGGAGCTCTGAACACAGACTGTGGCAGAGCCTACCTTAGGGCAGGTCCACTCTCAGAGCAAGCCACTCACACTGGGATAAAATCCATTATCTTTCATGATCACAACGGCGAGATGGTTTTTAACTGAGAGTCAGCTGAGGGATATCTTGCCAAGCAAAACGTTGAGGATCCATCACCAGCATCGCCAGATAATTGGTCTTGGGGAAGGAGGAGGCTTCCTGTGATGAATGAATATGCTGACTTGGTGAGGAATCACCATTATTCTGGAGGACCTGCCTGCGTGTTTTCTCCCGAAGGACCCATAACACCCTCCTCGCTGCCCCCAGCTTCAGAAGGGGGCCTCCCAAAACTGTGTTCATTGACAACAGACCAGGAAATGGAGCCAGATCTCCAGAAGAGACACCTGTGATAACAGTTCCCCCTGAAAAGCAGCCCACGGTGTCTGCTTGTCTCTCAGCGTTGAGAAAAGGGGAGAACTCTTCCCTCAAGTCCTCAATTGGAGAATATAGTTCTTTTTACTCATCACCATTCATTCATTTACTGAGCACCTCGTGATATTTTAGGGGATAGATATAGATAGATATAGATATAGATATAGATATAGATATAGATATAGATATAGATATAGATATAGATATAGATATTTTTAGAGAGTAAGGGAGAGGGAGAGAGAGAAAGAAACATCAATGATGAGAGAGAATCATTGATTGGCTGCCTCCTGCACACTCCCCACCGGGGATTGAGCCTGCAACCCAGGCATATGCCCTTGACCAGAATCAAACCCGAGACCCTTCAGTCTGCAAGCCAATGCTCTATCCACTGAGCCAAGCCAGCTAGGGCTAGAGGATTTTTAAAAACATAACTTCCTAACAATAAATCCTCTGGCAAAAGAGTTGCCAAGTTCATGGGCCCTCTGCCGGCAAGCTCACAGCTCCTGGTTGGACAGGTTAAACACAGTAAAGGTCCCACATGCCAATTCAGGGGACTGTCCCTAAAAATCCAGAAAGTTTTCATTCAACTCCAGGAAAAAGAAATGAAAGGAAGGATGGGAGGAAAAAAGGAAGGGGGAAAAGACTGGAGAGAGAGGGGAAATAAACTCAGCAGAATACACATTTCCAAAACGAATGGACAAAATTCAACTAACATATATTAACCTTTATTCTATAACAGGGACATAAATAATTTTATGAATTCATATGATCTGTACAAAAGACAAAATAAGATATTGCACTAAGTTTAGATATGGGATATTTGGATTTCATATCAGCTAAACAGATAAATATATACAATTCAAGGAGTTAAGGCAAAACCAGATGATACTTCAAACACAACAGAAGGTTGGAAACATAGGTATAATTAAAAACAAGGGCATCCCATCACCTGTTAATAAAGTGGTCATGGCTAAGGGGAAAAATCCCTTAGGTTTTTAATAAAGTGATTATCATCAATCATGTTAATTAAAGTCGAGCAACAAAGTATAAGATTTCCCGTGGAGGAGAGCGGTTTGGGGAAGTTTAGGGGTTGAGCAGGTAGAACTCAGGTAAGCAACCTTTTCCTTGTCAGATTTATGACCTATTCTTCCTATTAGAAAATATAATTTGGAAAATATGACTCTTTCACATATATAATTAAAATAAAACTATGAAGCATTCTTTTTTTCAAGGGAAGTCATGTTGGGGATCTCATAGGGTAAGTTTGCGGGCAAGCCATTCATTACCCTATTGGTAGAGAAAACACAAAACCAGTCACCGCAAAACAATTCCCAGGTACCTACACTGAACAAAACAAACCGAGTCCAAAGGAATAAGAACACGCGTGACCAATGTACCAACACAGGTAAGTTCTTTGGCAGCTTCGCACTAACCGTTGATTGAAGTCGGAACTCTTGCATTTTCTCATTCTTAGACCCACTTGCCAGTCTTTTAAAAACAAATAGATAAAATTCCACATCTGCAATGAATTCAGTAATTCCAGGAAATTAAATTCAGAAGGAATCTGCAGATAGTCTATAACGGTTACACGGACGCACAGATAGGAATTGTCTGCCGAGTCCTGATCCACACATAGGGAGCGCAGGCACGCAAAAGTAATCGGTAAAGCTGGATTGGTCTGGACAGGCCTGGGATCCTGAAAGAGAATCCATACTGACCCATGAAACCAATAAGACATCACTCCGAGGATGAGAAAATGATCTTCCAATAACTCAGTGGTGAGCCGCCCCTCACCTGGTGAACGCCACGGAGAAATGGATTCTATAGGGGGAACACCAGGAAGCCCGAGAACGTGGAATACTGCCAGCCTCCGACCAGGTTACCTTTCTCCAGTTTTAGGTAAACCTTATCCTCCTTATCCAGGTAGAGCAAGACTCCATTGGTGGCGGCTTCGCGAGTAACATCTTTGTCCCCAGCAAAGGCAGATATTACTGGTTTTCCATTTAACATCAGGTTAACCTACAAGGAAAAAAAAGTCACTAAGCTCTCCTTAAAGTCAAAAAATCTGCTAGGGATAACAAATAATGCTCAAGGGGAAATATCTGATGTTTAGTAAATATATCCCTTTCCTTTCAAATCAGTCAAGTGCAATGGCTAGATTTAGTATGCTACTAAGCTAGGGGTGGGGGCTGTTCAAAGTAAAATTGAGTTTCTTCCATAGAAATGTCCTTAAATGCCTACAAAAGAGTACCATCTGTGGAGAGCAGCCAGCCATGTGAAAACTGGCTACCCGTCACCTGTTACTTAAGCTCACTACTTTATTTACCTCTGAGATTCATTAGCAATCTTTCGGTAAGGAAGCAAGCCTGTAGCTTCCCAGTGTGTTAGTAAAAAGAGGCCCAGCACCCTTCACCCTGATAAACCAGACATAGCAAAGTTCTACCAACTTCTGGGCAGGTCATTATGCAGCCATGACATGCATACTGCTGAAAATCATCTTAAATCATGGACTGTGTGTGCGCTGTGGTTTCTTTTTCTGTTTTCCTTGATAAGAAATATGTATTTAAAATAATAATCACCACTACCATTGAAGATTTTAATGATGGTTAATTAGCAAAGAATTAATAATTAATAAGCTCAAAATTATTAACAAATAATCTCAACATGTATTCACTTTTCTTCATACTACAATTTTGATCATACTGTATTAAACATTACACTAACTTCTAAACAGTGGGGTTTGGAAAAGTTTTCCTATGGCAGTGAATTTGTTTTCTAGCTGTTCATTATTTTTACGTTAAAAAATAATACTGAATAAATTAAATCTGAGGTCGATCAATTTATCCATTCACTAGGAAATGTAAAAGTGGTAGGTGAGTGAATCTATCTTTCACATGGACATAGCACACAGTACAAATATTGAGCAAAAGATAACATGTTCCTTGAACTCCATAGACATGTATTGGTGTCATTGGGTGTTCGCACATTTAAACATTATAGGAACTAGGCCCATGGTTGCCTTTGAGTGTAAGCTCAAGCCCATTACTTAGAAAGCACAACACAAAATATATTGTTAACTGTGGCAATTGCAATTGGTAAGAATTCACCAGGATCAGAGTAACTAAGGGTAAACTAAAACATAAGCGTAGCTCACTCTTTTTTAAAAAATATATTTTATGACTTTTACAGAGAGGAAGGGAGAGGGATAGAGAGTTAGAAACACCGATGAGCGAGAAACATGGATCAGCTGCCTCCTGCACACCCCCTACTGGGGATGTGCCCGCAGCCAAGGTACATGCCCTTGACTGGAATCAAACCTGGGACCCTTCAGTCCGCAGGCCGACGCTCTATCCACTGAGCCAAACTGGTTAGGGCGCGTAGCACACTCTTGTTAAAAAAGTATATTGGATAGTTGTTAGTTACTCATTAATGTATTCTTACTAGTAAACTATTTCTCCTAATTCTTAACAATGATAGAAAATTTGTTTTCATTTAGTAAGCACTTATAAAACTCTACTGGTCTTACAAGTTCTATCCCTACAAGTTGAAATAATTTTGCACCTGCACTAAATGAAATCAAGATCTTATAAAGAGATTTGTGTCACTGAGTTTTTACTAAGCCATGCTTTTTTCCCTTTTCATTGAATTTATTAGGATGACACTGGTTAACAAAATTATACAGGTTTCAGTTGCACAATTCCATAACACATCATCTGTACACGGTACTGTGTGTTCACCACCCCAAGTCAAGCCTTCGTCCATCACCATTTATCCAAACCCATGTTTTTTAAATGGTTGGTTGTTATTAAGGTAATAAGTTCAATTGTTTATTTTTTCTATATGCTTCTTGTCACATGCCTTAATAGAGGCTATAAAGGAGAAGATTAGAAGTTAAGTGTTTTAAAAATAAACTACTATGGATGGTTGTTTATTTTTACAGTGACAGCACATATTTGGATAAATACATAACCCACAACCAATAAACACTGTTGTTTGGGGATAGAAAGGGAACAGGTCAAAACACATACCTGGATTGTTTGGCTCTGGTAGACTTTAATTACATGAAAACTGAAACTGTAAATTCCTTTTCTTGGTGCTACAAAGACAGACTCCAGTGTGAAAAAATTACCCACATTTACCAGGATCTACAAGTAAAAATAGTAAATAACAGTAAATTATTATAATATTTTCTTCTGTAAGTGTGTTTCCTTACTTCCTCCCTTTTCTTTCTTTTTTTTATTTTCTTAATCCACAACTAGCTTAAGAAACCATAGACAATAAAACATTGAGTTCTATTCCTTTCCTCTTTAGCGACTTGAAAAAAAATGCATTTGTATATTGAAAGGATCTTCTGTCTTCTAAATGGTAGCGGAAAATATAAAGTAACAGCTTAGTATTCATGCCTCAATTTCCAGCAGGGCCTGATGGCTCTGGGAACATGTAGGTAACATGTGAGGGCTTATGGATTTATCAGCTGTACTTGAGAGTCAGATAAAAGGACCCTGCCATGTACTTACATTCCCACCCTCTACAAGCCTTCCCAGTGTCCAGAGGTGGTGTTTCCCACACAGCCAATCCGCATCCATGGGCTCCCTCCAGTCCTTGCTGGACACACCACACAGAGCCTGGGCGCCCCCTCGCACGTGCCATAATCCATGACACTGAGCAGCTGGTGCACGGAGTGATCTGGAGGCCGGCCCTCCCCGGAGTCTCCGCCAAACCTCTCCTGAGAGCCTTGGCCGTTTTTTCATCCCTGTGCCATCTAGGCCTTAATTCTATTTTGGCAATGACTCAGCTTGTACAGGCTGCCACAGAGGAGAGCGGGAATCAGAGCAGACTGGGACCTAGGTGGCCTTCTCCTGCTCCTCCCAGGGTTGGCCGTCACCCTCTGATCAGCCACCTGCTCTTTATTTAAAAAGTTCAATGGTCAAAAATGAAGCATGAAATCAGGTGCTGTTCCCAAAGAAAGCCACAATGCATTTTGTTTTCGAAGACGCTCAATCTGGATCTACTGGTGGTGAAATGAACTTTGAATTTCAACAAGTGACCTCTTAAACAAAATTTGCAAACATCTCATAGGTAAGTCCCTTCCTTTCTGAGAGAGAGAGAGAGAGAGAGAGAAGAAGAAGAAAAAAAAGTTGGGGGGGGGGAGAGAGTTGAAAAATAACTAGGATTTCTTCCATTTCTCCTCAAGAGATAAATCTATAAGTGGCATTCAAAAAAACCAGATGTCCCTAAAAGACACATGTCCCCTATATCAAAGGCAATCTGCTACTATCTCTTTTAAACAACACATATATACCAATATTAACCCTTTAGCATAATTCCCGAAAGACATACTTTTACCTCTGAGAACTGCACTAGAATACAGCGACGGTCAGGCTCGACCCCTGACTTAAACTGCATGTATGTGGACAGTGTTATTCTGAGATTTCATGTTCTTCTAAGTCAGCACCAGATTTCTTACTCAGACCTGATGATCGAGGATCTTCCGACAGCAAATCCCTAGCCACACAGTAACCCTCGGAAGACGCTTTACAAAGATTTCTCCCAGCACATTTTAAGTGATTTGAGAAACTTAGTGGGGACTTCCTGAGTCGGATACAAGCAGCATAAGTCATTAGTAATAAGGGAAACGGCTGGTGAGTGTTGACTGCGCACAAGGCTGGAGGTTGATGCTGTAATTAGAGATCCAGGCACATCGAGATTTTCACTAAATGTGCCTTGTTGTCTCCAAGAGGCATGGCTCCTGAGCAGAGGAATAAACCCTTCTCCTCTCCTAATTGACGGACGGGTCATTGGGAAGAATGCCCTGTGCAGGACAGTGCAGTGCCCACAGCATCCAACATAATTAATGCGCCGGAATGCAAACCAGGGGAGGGTCTAGCCTTGGTTTCTGTCAGGATCGAAAGCACTGCACTCCTGAAGGGGCTGCTGAACTGTGGCTCTCCCACAGGAAGCCCCAGAGGCGCCTGGTCTGTCTCCGGCCAGCGGGAGAGTGCATTGCTAAGGAAACATTAATAAGGAGCCTACTGTCGCCTTATTCCTTCCCTAGCACCTGCAAAGGCAGTACCTCTTCACCTGCGCTCTCGCGCATGTGGCTTTTCACACAACTGTGGGCTACGCATGTGACTTTGGAAATAAAAAGGTTCTGGGTGCACTTAGGGTGGAAATTAAAACCCCGGAATCAGTTTTCAGTGATGACTCCTCGCTAACGCTGAGCTGATATCCTGGGGGTTTTCATCAGCCAAACGTCTGAGCTCCAGGTCTCTGAAAAGCAGCCATGGATTTCATCAGTTTCTCCGCCATCCCCTACCCTCAGCCCCAAAGCCGGTCCTTTCCCAGCAATTTGCAATTCTCTGAAAGGACAGGCCGGGAAGGGAGAGCCCGCGGCCCTCCAGGCTTCCCTCTGCCGCTCCGCGCAGCTGCCCAATTCCTTTCCCTCCGCCTCTGCAACTTTTCTGCAAGCGCCAGGGAAGGGCTTCCCCCGCAGCGGCGCCTGCGACGTGTGTGGGGATCCCAGCGGCCAAAGGTGAGCGAGACCGACCCTGGCCACTGTGCACCCTCTCCCGCCACCTGCAAGATCTCTGCAGAGTGCCCACCCACCTGGGAGAAGCAAACCATTTACCCTGCGTGTGGAGAGCCCCACGGGGACGGCCTGTGATCACCTGCAGACAGGGGTCGGAGGCAGGGGCCGGGCTCTCGCCCAGAGATTGCAAAGTCCAGGCACGAGACTCCCACCAGCTCCTTGGACCTGTTGCTGCTAAACTTGTCCTGAGCTCTTGCTGCCCAGCCCTGTATTCCCAGCCTTTGTCCCGCCGCCCAGCAGCCTTTCCCGGAGGCCAGGGGGGAAGGGGGGCGGCAGCGGCTGGCGTGGGAGAGACGCTGGAAGTTTCAGTCCCAGGCATATTTGGGGAGGCGAGTGCCTAAATGATCCCCCACATCCCAATCAGATGAGCTCAGCCCTAGCAGGCAGCCAGGTCTGAGCCGCTCGGCAATCCCCGCCCCTGCCCCCGGTGCCCCACATCCCTGGGGATCTGACCTGATCGAAGTAAATGATGCGCGTCTTGTTGCTCATCTCCGAGGGCTCGTGGTTGGTGCTCCGCACCGCCGAGAAGGCGACCTTGGAGTTGGCCGCCCGCACTGAGATCCCCAGAGGGGAGGAAGAGGAGCCCTTGGAGTCCGTGGCCGGGTTCGAGTCACACACCACCAGGCATTTGCCCTCCAGCACGATGGGCTCCGTGTCGTTCTGCGCCCAGACGGGCAGCGAGGGCAGCGTGAGGGCCAGCAGCACGGCCGGCACCACGGACAGCGCCCGGCGCGCCGAGCCCATGGTGAGCGCGAGTGCAGCCGCAGCGGCTGGCGCTTGGCTCGCCTGCGTCGCCTGCTCCCCGGGACCGGCTCGGAAGATGCCGGCGGTTAGATAGACAGCGCTGCAGGCACAGCGGCGGCGGCGCTCTCACTTCCACCGATTCTCTGGTTTGAAGTCAGAGTCTCCCTCGCGCTCTCTCGCCAGCTCGGTTACCTTTGTCCTTTAAGGAGCTCATGCAGAACCCCCTACCTCACCCTCCTCCGCCCCAGAGTCAGCCCTGCCTGGGGCTCCTTCACCCGCCCCCCTTGTTGCCAGACATCTAGAAGTCTCCAAACCCTCACATTCACGCCTCAAAGGGGAAACTGGCAGTAAATGCTCACCCCAAACCTAAGCACCCTCTGGTGAACCGCGGATCAGGAAGAACGAAGAGGGCTCAGAGAGGCCCCGGGGCGGTGGGCGCGGAGCAGGGCCGAGGCGGTCCTGTCGCGTCTGGCCAGCGGCAGGGACGGATTACAGCGGCGGAAGGTGTTTCCCCGGCGGAGAGGAACGCGAGGCTGTGTTCATGGCCGGGACTCAAGCGGCTGCCACTTTTGCTTGGTCAAAAATTCCCCACAGCTCGGTGTGGCTCCGATGCCGCAGGTAGGCAGAGGCCAGCCAAATGCCCAGCTCGGAAGCGCAAATGGGCAGGATTAGTTCCAGGTGCAGGGCGGCTGGGCTGGCAGGGTCCTCTCCTGCCTGTGCCGCACCCGCACGCCCCACGCCCAGAGTCCCTGCGCGCAACTTTCTCTGTCCTCCGCAACCCGGAGAGCGCGAAGCCTGAGCGAGCGCGCTATTTATAGGAGCGCAGCGTCGGCTGGCGTTGGCTTCCAGCTCAGCCCGTGGGCTCCGGGGAAAGGGGGAGAAGGAGTCCGGTGACCCGATCTGAGCAGCTCCCGCCTGGCGCTTAAGGCATCCGTAAGCAGGCGGGTGCGCCGGCTTCTAGTGCCAGAGTCCTAGGCCACTCGGCCCTGGGGAGTGCGCGGCACCAGGAGCGTGTGCGCAGGGAGGGGCGCCCGCAGCCCTGTGCTGGCCCCAGTTCGGTGCCTGCTCTCCCCTCCTCCGTCTGGGGGGTGGAAGGGGCTGCGGCTCTCCCCGCCCCTCCCTGCGCGGGACTCCGCAGCCGAGCGCCCTCCGAACGGAGCGGGGCGCTGCCAGGCGGCTGCGGAGCGGAATTGGAGGCAGAGGCTCCTGCGCCGGCGCTCTTCCCGGGACCCGGGAACGTGCGGGAGCTCTAATCGCACCTGGCCCAGCACCTGCCCCACAGAGACCGCTGGGGTCTGGGGAGCCTCAGGCGGACCAAAGCCAGTGAGGGCCGCTGGGAGGAAGTGTTCCATACCGTCTGCTCAGGGAAGAGCAGCCCTGGGAGCCTAGGGGCGCACCTCCCCACTCACACAGCGAATCCCCCCAGGTAAGGCCAGAAAAAAAGAGTGGAAGAGGGAGTTAACTCAGCAAGAATAAGTCTTCCAAAACCGTACCCCTAAGAAAAGCCAACCCACTCCTGAAAATACAGCACTTTCCTCCCCTCTGGGGACGCCACCGCCCCTGTGCAGCCCGGCTGCCACTCGGACTGGCAAGCTTGATCTTCCGCAGCCTCCACTGGGAGGAAGGGCTTGTCTTGTCTGTGACCAGCTGTGTGAACTTGGCCCAGTCACTGAGCCTTCCTGAGAGGGCGAGGCCGCTAACTAAAGTCCCTCCAGCTCTGTGCTGCTGTGGGTCAAGTCACCCCTTCCCACGTTCCTTCTAGACGTCCAGCTGCCAGAGGGCAGGCAGGCAGCGCATCTTCAGTCAAAACAGCCTCCCAGTCAGCCATTCGGAGCTCCTAGAAATGTACTAAGTATTCACTGAAGGTGTTTGTTGAGCAACATCAGCCATGGGTGGCTCCCTATCCCTGCCTGGATGGAGGACCTCCTCATCAGCGTGAATTCAAGACCCCCACCCCAACAGAAGCCAGGAGGGTGGGGCATTGAGCCATAAGCACCACACTGCAGTTCCAACTGTTAGCATTGGTATTTGTGTGTCCTTCCTTACCCCCACCCCCGCCCCCACCCCACCCTGACCCCCTGCCCTACTGCTCTATAATCTTGCAACTAAAGAGTTAGTGCCTAGAGCAGGGGTGGGCAAACTTTTTGACTCGAGGGCCACAATGGGTTCTTAAACTGGACCGGAGGGCCGGAACAAAAGCATGGATGGAGTGTTTGTGTGAACTAATATAAATTCAAAGTAAACATCATTACATAAAAGGGTACGGTCTTTTTTTTTTTTTTAGTTTTATTCATTTCAAACTGGCAGGATCCGGCCCGCGGGCCGTAGTTTGCCCACGGCTGGCCTAGAGCCATGCAGGCCTTCAAACTCTGTTCCCATGGGGCCAGGACCAGCTCTAACTGGCAGGTGCTCAGGTCATGCTATTTGTTACGATGTTGAGTTTCACTAATCTAAGCTGCAACCATACAGGTGACCTGGTGCCTTCTGACAGCCATCCCCTACCCCAGGTGCTGGTGCCCCACCCGAGTCCAGCAACCTTTCACCTGAACCCTTGTCCCACTTGGGACCACTCTGCAGGCTTCTTTCAGTCTGCCTGACAACAGCGACAATTTCCTCACATTGGATAATGTCTTTTGAGGCCTGGGGCTGGGTGTCATTCCTCTTTCTCTCTTGAAGGGCTAAGCACTCTTCCTTTCTTTTCCAGAACAACTGCTTAGTCCTACCACTTGGGCTGTTCAATTTTAGGCTGGAAGAATTTTCAGGGGAAAGCTCTGTTGACTACAGAATTGTCAAATACTCAATAATCCCTCTTCCCACCACCCCAGTATACCCTCTGCACCCTTTCCTTCCCCAAGAGCCTTCCTTCCTGGTCTTGCATGGGAAAGCAATACTCCTGTGGTCAGTAAATTCCAGAACTGCTTGTTTGAGTAGAGAAACCAAGTCTCGAGCAAGCCCAAGACAGTAAGGATCCATGAGTGGTTTTCTGTGTCTAAAGAAAATGTCCCTAAGAAGACAAAGACAGACACACCAGGTGTTCAGCTCGAAGGACCCTGCCTGGAAATGACCCTGGGGTTGAATGAAAGAAGACTCCACGCATCATGTAGAGACAGAGCCCAGGTGAGTCATGCGGAAGGTAGAAAATCGAGAGAGAAAGGGCAGTGAGACTCCCATAGCCACACCAGGGCCCAGGGGGGTCACTGGATTACCCCGGATATCTGAGTGATGCTGATCAACCCCAGTTAATGCTCTTCTTTGAGAGGGTTAGGAGCTTGAGTCCAGTTGCAGCGCAGTGTTGAGTGAGTCCTCAGGACTCCCTTTGGGAATGGCCGCATGACTGACTTGCTTTGCATGAAGATGGTATTTATGGGAAAAAGTACATGGATGATTTGAAAACCACTTTTTTTTCACATTTCAATATTTTATTTTTTTAAATTTTGTTTTATTGCTTAAAGTATTACAAAGAGTATTACATATGTCTCCTTTTTTTTTTCCCTTGACCTTCTCCCGGCCTCCCCTACCCCCCAGTGTCTTGTGTCCATTGGTTATGCTTATATGCATGCATACAAGTCCTTTAGTCGATCTCTTACCCCCCCAACCCTCCCCAGCCTTCCCGCTGTAGTTTGAAACCACTTTTAATTGACTTTATAATTTAAAAATTGTCGGAGACAGTTCATCTGCAGTCTCCTCCGATCACCAACAAGGGGTGTGTCTAAGGTGACAGGGAACAGTTAGACCTCCAGCTTAGGGTTGCAGATATATTTTGATGCCTCTTTTTGGCCTTCCCAGAACACCTGTGCTCCTCCCAGACATTACATATAACACAATTTTCTGAAATTGTTGATTTCTTTGTTGTATTCTTCATGGATTATCAACTTTTGGGGAGCATAGAATTTAGCAGAGAGTAGGTATGCCAAAAAAAGGTTTACTGAATAAAGTAACATCATTGCCCTTATTTCTCATAGGGGAAATAATATACCAATGACTCACTATGAGTATGATAGGAAAAGTAAATTTTCTCCAAAAAAAATGTGTAGTCTTAGAATGTTTTGTTTACCCTTAGTTACTAAGAATGGAAGGCCAATGGGGCATATAGGGATTTATTGGAAGTCCAGGAGCAGAACCGAGCCTTGGGAATGGAATGAAGTCTTGTGGAGAATCTAAAATATTGCCTTTCCTTTCTCTATCTCTGTATCTCCACCTCCATCTTTATCTCTCTCTCTCTCTCTCTCTCTCTCTCTCTCTCTCTCTCTTTCTCTCTGTCTCTATCTTTCTTTCTCTCCTAGGTACATCTGCATTATTGTTTTTGCTTACTGCAATCTAATTTTCTGTGATGCCTAGAAGGTATACAATGGCAACTCACACACCCAATTGTTACATATAATAAATATATCCATCCACCCAGGGGATACACCAAAACCCCAGGGAAGAGACTCATTGCTGTATCTGGCATCAGATATGCCCACCCATCGACCAGAGAAGCAGCATACAATGCACAGACAACTGAGTCCTGGCAACCAGGTATGTCATTGGAGCAGGTGGCGGGGAGGGGAGGAGAGGAAGACAACTCCTAGAAAAGTGGTGCAAGCAATATGAGCTGAAGTGGAAAAGGGAAAGATGCAAATCAATTTGTATTGTGTGATTCTATGTTAATAGTCTGTAGGTCTGCTCAGATATGGATATCTGATTAAGCAGAGGGAAAAATATGAAAAGCTAGACAACAAATTGTCAATTTTAGAGGAATGGAATAGAAGGGAAGGAAATCCTATTAATTGAACTTAAGATATTTACTATTTGAATGGTCACAGCAATTATATATTACACTAGAGGCCTGGTGCACAAAATTTGTGCATGGGGGAGGAGGAGGTTTCCACACAGCCTGCTTGTTCAGTCATTTTGTCGTCCCTCACTAACCCCTCTACCAGCCTGGTTGTAGGCAGCCATCTTGTGCAGGTGTGAGGGTTAATTTGCATATTACCTCTTTATTATATAGGATTGTGATTCACATTTAAAGAACAATTTTAAAGGAAAGAGGTTCTGAATAGACCATTCAGTAGGAATCTACTACATGGAACTTTTTTTTTCATAATTTAAGCTTAATTAAAGTTTGGAGAGAAAAAGGAACTAACGTTCTTTCCCATACGTGGCATTGGTTGAAGAGCAATTTTCTTTCTTTTGTTATATTGATCCAGCTCTAAAAACTCATTCACTCAAAGGCTAGGAAGATGCCCAGGCGTATAAAGCCTCACAGTGCATTTAAGAAAAAAATTACATTGAAACTGGTAAAGCTCATGAGTAATATCAAAATTTCTGATTGCATCTTAGATTC